CAGACACAAGAAATGATAAAAAGCTATATATTTGCTATGCACACTTTTACATGTATCATCTTTTGAGGGAGTGAGACTGGACAATACCGTGTGCGGGCTTCTTCTTGAGTTGGTAGAAGCCTACATCTGGCGGGTTTTCCAGGGCTTTTCTCTTTAGGCTCCCTGGTCCAGGGCTACTTACTCCCCCCCCTCCTCCTCCTGTTGCCGTTGATGTTGATGCTGCTGCAGCCGAGGCAGCTCTGATTGCAGCTGCACCTATGGGGTGGAGGAGATGTATCAGTAATATTACAGTAGTATTAGATATAATAGCTTGAACAATACACTGATAAAATCCCCTCTCTGGGAAACTCACCTGAAAGAGGAGAGGGTAGAGGAAACATACTAAAGAAAGGGAAGGGGAAAAGAAACAACTGAGAGAGGGGTGAGAAAGGAAAAAAACATTGAAGAGAAGGGAAGGGAAGAAAAAAACAGCTAAGGAAAGAGAGGGGAAAGAGAAACACACCATAGAAAGCTCACTTTAGGATGGGGGAAGGGGAGGGGAAGCCCACCTCAGAAAGGAGGAAGGGGAGGGAAACCCCACCTCAGGAAGGGGAAAGGGAGGGAGAGGGGAAATATCTGAGAAAGGGGAGAGGAGAGGGGAAACCACCTGAGAGAAGAGAGAGAGGGGGAGGCAAAACACACCAGACTGGAAACAGGGATACAAACACAACTGAGAAAGGGAAAGGGAAAGGGAGGATGGCACAGAAGAGAGAGAAGGAAGAAAAACAAACCAAAGAAAGGGGAGAGAAGAGGGAAAACACAACCAAGATAGAGCAGCAGCAGGGAGGTAAAATACAGCTAAGAGAGGGGAAGGGAAGGAAAAAAAAACACCTGAAAGAGTGAAGGGGGAGGAAGTGGGAAGGAGAAACACACCAGAGAAATGGAGAGGGAAGAGGTAACACACTCAGGAGAGGGGAGGGGGAGGGAGAGCACATCCAAGAGAGGGGTAAGGTAGAGAAAACACACCTGAGAGAGGGGAGGGTGAAGCATCCTTCTCCTTCCTGCGTGCAAAGACAGACCCGATGGATATGGGATCAGACTCCTCCTCCTCCTTTAGGGTAAAACTCCCAAGCCTAATTGCCTTTGGAGTTGTGGGGGTTGCCTCCTGATGTAACACATTCCACAGGAGATGTGGGAGACATGCCGAGAAAGGGGTGAAAATAGCTTTTTAAAAATTTGTTAAATAACTGAAAATAAACAAAGAGGTTTTATATATACAGTAATCTAGCTTTTAATGTTTAGAAAATAATAAAGATATCAATAATAATAATAATAATAATAATAATAATAATAATAATAATAATAACAATAATAATAGTAATAATAATAATAGTAATAATAATAACAATAATAATAATAATAATAATAATAATAATAATAATAATAATAATAATAATTATAATAATAACAATAGCAATAACAAGGAAAGGCAAAACAACAGGCTCCCCTCACCTCTGCAGCAGATGAAACCGTGACAAAGGAGAGTCCGTACTGCAGGTTCTTGTTGAAAGGCTGCGTGCACACCACCTTGATGCGGTCCCATTTCTCACTGGCCACGTCTTTGTTCAGTTTGTCGGGCCCGAACATGCGCACTCTGTGGAGATCTGACGCATTTCTGGACTCTATGGGGGTCATGAAGGAGGAGGCCACAAGGAGGACCTGTAGGAGCCGTTGTATTAGGATTATAAGCAATAGCGTCCATATTAATAATGACGAATAATAACAGCATTAATAAAAATTATGCCTCTGGGAAGGCCAATAGTTATAAGGGCAATAATCTTCATAACTGCTGTTGCATTTAAGACTACAAGCACTAGAAAAAGGAAATGATATTATTAGCAAGTCCTTCCTGCCAACAAGTGCACCTTAAAGTTGGCATCTTCCCGCGCTGCCAGAACCTCCACAAAGGCCGACCCAGCATTGCCGAGGTCAATGGAGCGAATGGACGTAAGCCGCTCCAACTTCAAGGTGACGGATGCTTGTTTCTCTGATAATCCTGCTGCGCACTTCCATTTCCGATGTGTTTCCTGCCTCAGGAGGTTATCTGCGGGGTGATTCTGCGGATAACCACACGGGTAAATCTTGCATGTTTCAATGAAGTCATTATTTTGTAGGGGAAAAAAAAAATTATTTCTTATTTTGCCTCTGGGAGATTACATTTTTTTTTTCAAGTGCAAAAATACAGCAGGTGGCAAGTATATTTAGGCTTTAGGGAACTATGAAAATAAAATAAACAGTACATAATACTGATAAATCAACAATACCAAAGAAATTTTGCCTGTATGCATTACAAAGCTCTTTGGACCTCCCAGAAAGGTCTATCATCAAATAAAAATCTACAGTGGTCAGTGCTCTAACTTACCAAAAAAACATGGAAGAGGTTTGCTGCCTTTTACTGGAATGCCAACATTGTGGAAACCAAAGTGATCATACAGTACTGCCATTATGAGTTATATTATTC